ACCAGATACATTAAATAGAGGCCTTTCCCCTGAAGCTAGAATGAATCTTATATAATTGCCAGCTCTTCTCAAACGTGAAAGTGACCCAAAAAAGGTCAGGAGCATTTATTAACACATATATTCATGAATGAATGGATCATTCAAGGTTAATACTGGCTGCCTGAAATCTACTCCCATTGAAAAAGTCCATTATTTGGTTGGTATTGCCCTTCCAGAAGTATGTTGAGAGTTTCTAGCAAATAATGAACAAAATACAGCACCATCACATCCACTTCATGGACAACAACCCCCTAGATGATGGCTAAAATTGAGGAAGTTTTCTGCACTCATCACAACTTTTAAATATTAAACCAGAAGAGACTGAGCTAAATCTGTGGAGAATAAAACAATGCACTTTGCCGAATAGATTAATGTAGAAGAGTGTCTCCTACCAAGACAAGACTCTGGCTGGACCATTTGGAAGTCACTTAATAGACTTCAACATGAAGTAGGAATATTGAAAAATAATTAAGTAAAATCAGGCTCCGGGAGGCAGTGGAAGATAGGAGGGCCTGGCGTGCTGTGGTCCATGGGGTCACGAAGAGTCGGACACAACTAAACAACTAAACACACACACACACAAAATCAGGTTACTTGGATACAGGACAAATTTTCTGTAGCTATATAGAAATTCAATCAATGTAATATTAATGTCCTTGCAATTTATGCCACATCATGTGCACAAAAAAGATCAAGTACAGTGGAGCCTCGCATTACGACGTTAATTTGTTCCAGCGAAATCGCTGTAGAACGAAAACATAGTAAAGCGAAAATTAAAAAGCCATTGAAACGCATCAAAACCTGGTTAATGCATTTCAATTGGCTAAGAACTCACCATCCAGCAAAGATCCTCCATAGGGGCAGCCATTTTCGGGTGCCTGTACAGCAAAAAATGGCTCCTAAACACAGTGGGGAGCCATTTTGAGCACCCGGTGGCCATTTTGAAAACCCGATGATCAGCTGTTTTGATTGTCGGGAAGTGAAAATCGGTTCCCAAAACAGGGAACCGATCATCGCGCAGCAAAATTCCCCCATTCAAAATGTCATTTTGTGATCGCTTTTGCGATTGCAAAAACCTTGTCGTAATGCGGTTTCGTCACTAAACGGAGCGCCCGTCTTGCAAGGCACCACTGTAAATGGCAAAGATAACACTATTGAAGCAACCCGCCGCTGGTTAAAAATAGTCTAATTATTTTAACACTTTAACTTTTTAATTTTTAACTATATTTCATATGTGCCTATAATTTTAAATTGTGCAGCACTGATATGAATAAAGAAAATAATTACCATGCATTAGCATACACATTCAAAATTATACATTATTTTAAATACAAACAGGACATACAAAAGTTAGGGCAATTTAAAGGCCTGACAAACCTCATTCAAAATACATCACTGTTGTTGGTTTTTAAAAAGATCCTTTGAAACTGTTCCTTTGCCTTTTTTAACATTTTATCATACTTCTGTGCTGTAATAAATTTCTGACTTCTTGCACTCAAATTAAAATCAGGTGTTTCTGGGTTGTTTTTTCTTAATGTAGACTGAATGTTCTTATCTAGTTTTCATGTTATCTGTACTGGACAGGTGCAAAAGGACATTATTTGTGGCATTGTTGTAGATCAGGAAAGAGGAGAGACACAAGGCAGAACCTGATTACATTTGGCTCTCATGAAGTCAACCCAGATTCAGAACAAAATTTGCTCTAAACATTCCCCGTCAGATTATCACTTGGATCACAACACCGATTGCTGTCCATAATGTTCAGGCATTGCTCCTCAAAGGGAGTAGTAGTTTGAACTTGTGCAGAGACAGCAGAACCAAGTTTTCCTTGACTATTTTTTGGGTTATTTGAGATATTTGCACAATGCAGTGGCCTAGTGCTGAGCTGAAAAGGAGTAATCACTGTATTAGTATTAGTCAAAAATAGAAAACCTTACACTTTATGATATTCAGAGAAATCCATTTTTGTACAGTATTCTCAAAGGCTTTCACGGCTGGGATCCGATGGTTATTGTGGATTCTCTGAACTGTTTGGTTGTGTTCTTAAGGTTTTTCTTCCTATCGTTTCACCAGTCTCTGTGGCCAGCATCTTCAGAGGACAGGAGTCAGATCTCTGTCTGTGCTCTGGTGCAGTTTGTTGGATAGTTCAGTATTTACAGCTGTGGGATCAGCTTTTTGTCCTTTTCAGGAGAATGGGTGATTATGGTGATCAGCATATTTTTTTTGTTGTGGGTGTATTGTTGTGATGAGGGGGAGAGATTATCTGTCACTGTGATTGATGGGTGTCGTTAGCTGGTCTTTTGTGTGAATTTTTGATAGTACAGGAGCTAAGATTCTTGAACTTATATATGGAATTCCCTAGATTTGTCTTCTGTAACTGCTCATGGAGACCCATGTGCTGCTCTCACTCTTTAACAAAGAAAGCAGGAATCAGGATGTGATTTCGGAAGGAGGAAGAAAAGAAGCTTAATAATAGCACTCTATATGTAAATCTGGAAAAGATAAGAGCAGAAAACACTTGAGTTATGGACTCGTTCCATTGTCCCCCTACTCTCCCACAGAAGTATGTCACATCCTATATGCACTGAATATGTATTTTCTGCAGACTGAATGTACAACTTAACCCTTGTTGCTCTGAAATCCAAAGCAGCAACAGCATTAGTCATTACTGGATTACTCTTGCTCCCAACATGCTCTGCTCACCGTATATATTTGTAATTAAATATCTGCTGCAAGAACTCCCAGCATCCAGTGCCATCTCTCATCTTCATAGGAAATGTCTCTGGACGTGCTTAGGAAAATAAGGAGCATGTAGGAATATTGATTCAAAAGTAAACCCATTGATTTTAGATGAGCTTCCTCCCCAGCTAGTGTTCATTTAGAATTGCAGTTAAAATGCAAGATACTGTACAAAGGTTTATCTGAGGCTGTGCTCCTCCACAGCCCTACAGTAATCATGTGGAGAAACACGGAGGATTTTTGGCCAGGCAGCAAGCATCTAGCAGTGGTTTAAAGTGTTTTGTTTTGTTTTTAAGCCAGCAAGCAACAAGCCTCCCTGTGTGAACCAGACTTCCAGTTCTACACAGGAATCCAGAAGGGGTTCGGGTTGTCTAGACAGCCAGTTAGAGCCGTTTTCTGGCAAAGCCTTTGAAGCTGGATGGAGCTCTTCTCGCTCTTTCCCCCCTTCATGTTCAGTCAGCCAGATCCTAGCCCTGAATATAGATTGATACATTATCCCTCACTGAATGTTGCAGTCTGCTGGTGCTGCAGCTATTCACAAAGATTTATTTATATTTTGGAATAGCTTTGCTGGCTTGTTTAATCCTGTAATCTTTTCAAGGTATAACTGTAAATAATAAGAGGTGTTAAACAGAAAACTGAGCTAGAGAGCAAACCTTGGTGCATGCTATCCTCCATATAGCTCTTTCACTTTCTCTCTCTCTCTCTAATCCTTGCTCCCTCCTGGAGCCCTCTGTGGCTGCTGCCAGGTCTGGTTACCCTTTGGTGCCGTCCACATCTTCAAAGGACAGGCTAAGCTTTCTGCATTTTTTAGCCAATGTGACTTTTTGAGTTTTATAGTGCAGAGTTTATGAGATGAAGGTCTTCAGGTGGTGGGACTCCAGGGAACCATGTCAGTTTTGCACTGCAGTCCCTCGTGTCATCTAATACAGTGGTGCCTCACTTAACGACGATAATCCGTTCCAGGAAAATCGCCGTTACGCGAAAACATCGTAAAGTGAAAATAAAAAACCCATTGAAACGCATTGAAACCCGTTCAATGTGTTCCAATGGGGTAAAAACTCACCGTCCAGCAAAGATCTTCCATACGGCGGCCATTTTTGCTGCCTGTATAGCGAGGAATCCGTCCCTAAGCACAGCAGGGAGCCATTTTAAGCACCCAGTGGCCATTTTGAACACCGGACAATCAGCTGTTTTTGATCTTCGTAAAGCGAAAATCGGTTCCCGAAGCAGGGAACCGATCATCGCTAAGCGAAATGCCCCCATTTAGATCATCGTTTTGCGATCGCAACAAGATTGTCATAAAGCAGATTCATCGTAATGCAGTCCAAAAAAATTGTAGTCCAAAACCCACAGCATTTCCAAGATCTAGTTAGATATCTTACTTTATTTCTACTTTACTTTTATTAGACTTTTACCCCGCCCCCTTAGACAAAGTCTACTCTGGGTGGCTTACATAAATAATAAAACACAACAGTATATTAAACATAATAAAATCCTTCAAAGCTCAAAAACTTAACACTTATTTCACTTATATCTCCTCAAGTCCTTAAGGCTCATGGATCAATTTTCTTTTAAATAGAGGCATTCAAGAGAAAATTGGACAACCATCTGTCAGATCTGCTTTGATTTGGATTCCTGCATTGAGTAGGAGGTTGTGCTCAATACCCTTATAGGCATCTTCCAACTCATTTATACTATGATCTGGTAATATATGTAGAATAGTATGAACAGTGGTCACAGAGTCTGCTGCTACAACAAAGGCATCCTCCTGCTAGGCCATCCCTTGTTTTTCCCTCTTGTCCATAGGCATTCGTGTAAGTCTTTCACAAGCTTGGAACAGTTGAAAAAGATAAGATCTCAGTGCATGAATGAGAAACAGGGTTGCGCTCAATGTTGGGGGGGGGGCTTTTCTTCAGACAAAAAACAAGCAAACACCAGAATCCACCAGCTGTTGCAGTCTCTGGCCACAGAGAAGAGAGAACATCCTTCCATCTTAAATTTTGAATACACCATACAAAGCAATGCAACTGGCACTATATAGGAGGGCAGGAAAAGAAAACTGTCATCTAATCAGACATAATATCCAGTAACTTGAGGACCATTTAACAATGGACTATGTTCACTTCTAGCATTCCGGGAGGCACAGTTGGCAGTGATGATTTGCTCTGGTGTCAGTTCTCAACCAAAGAAAGCCTGACAAATCTTTTCTTGTATTTCAGGCCCTCCAGTGAATGTCAGCTGCAATATTTTCATCAACAGCTTTGGGTCTATTGCAGAAACTACAATGGTAAGTTAAAAGGAAAAAAAACATAGAAAACTTACTTTAAAACACACACACCCCATCATCGACTTTTCATGTATTAGAGAAGGTTGTGGATTCCCTGTTGTTCCAAAATTCACTTTTCTTTCCTTCTTGGCCATAACGAGAAAACTCAGTGTATTTCTGTGGCAAGGCTAGATAACAGTTTTCAGGTGGAAGGAAGGGAAAATTAAAATTCTCCACCTAACAATAGAAATCTAAACTGACTGACTCCCTTCTTGATTTGGAAACTGTGCTGTTTTACAGATCAGCATCTGAAAAAAATAGAAATGTTCCTTTTTTTGGACTACATCACCGATAATCCCTAGCCAACCTGGCTAGTCACCATGGGATTCTGGGAGTTATAGTCTTTTAAAAGTAAAGTTTCCAAGTTTGTACCATACAGAAAATGTTTCATGGGCCAGGCAGAACTGGAAAGCACAGGTTTCAAATAATGCTACAGGTTTAGGGTTTTAGGGGATATTGTAGATATAGCCCTGGTGTGTACCAGTGTAACCAGCCCATGTTATTTGCACCATATGAGGTTGGTTGGACACAACATGCCCCAAAACTCCTGCATCAGGATGTTCAGATTGATGGAAGAAGATCATGGTTACTAATGTTCTGTTGTCTGTGGAGTGATGTGAATGTTGAGATGCTACATACCACACAGTTTCCTGGTTGCAAATTTGTTTCCTTATTTATAATTAGGGAATGGAAGATGCTGGTTTTCCTCATGGCAATAAACAGAAAAATATTTGCTGTAAATCAGCTTTTGAGCACACGGAAATACTGAAGCTTTTATTCTGATAATTTTATGTCATTTTGGAGTTTTATATGGAAAGCTAAAACCCCAGGCATTGGGTTTTCCACACAGTTACAGCCATCTGAGTCAGATGACTATACATTGTAGTTTTAAGATTCCTGTGAGAATAAAATCCCCCTTGGGGTGAAATTTACATAATTATTACAATTCTAGCTTTTCCTTATAAAGATCATTAAAGTGCCAGTATTGGGAATTTTAGTTGACACATAAGACATTAAGGTAGACATTTAAAGGCACTAGAGGCAGTCTTTGTAGCACACAACTCAGTAGATATCATTATGTTAATAGGCAAAAATCTAATAAGTTCACAAGCACAGTTTTGGGCCAGATCCAAAGGAGAATAATGGAAGTCAGAAGGAGTGCGAAGGCCATGAATGAAGGAAAGCGATTATCAGGAGATTAAAGGAAACTGGAACTCTGAGAAACAGTTATGTATTCACCAAAAATTTGTGAGAGTAAGAGGGAAATTAGAAAGATGTCAGATATGCCAGAATTCCTAGCAATGAAATTCATTCAGTGGAATTGATGAAACAAAAAACTGAAAGGAAGAAAGGAGCCTACTGGTACAGAAAATAAATGCAAGAGAAGAGAATAACTCATTTTAGACTGCCAAAGATAAAAAGACTTTGAAGACATAATACTGAAAGGAACTAATGCCATGCCCTTGGTAAGTGTAGAAAAACTTCCTGATTAGGCAAATTCTTTTGGATTTGGTGAATCGGACCAGAACTGTAGATGAAGGGAAGGAAGTATATGGGCCTCCAAAAGTAGGCAAACATCCACTCCTATCAACTACCTTCTCCACCACAGCTTATAGTGGGAGCTGATGGGACTCCCCACAATAACATTTGGAGATCATACTAAGTGCTTGCTCATCACATCACTTAAGGTGGGCACATGGCTTTGTATGAGAGTGAGACAACAGTAAAGAAACATCTTCATGTGTGAATTCAGACAAGAACGTTCTCTTGATGTCTAGTTGCCTTGCTGTTCACACTGGGATTTCATCACTGCTGAAAGTCATGGTTAGCAGATAAAGTATTTATTTGTGGGACCTGCAAGCTATTCCAACAAGCTGATCAATGGAGAAGAGATGCACCTCCCTTTATCATAAAGCTAACAATAAGGACCTGGCGGTGGACAGAGAGAGCACCACAGTCAGCATCATCCAAGCGTGAATCTGCGGTTTGGCTAACTGTCAGTGGTGCACGTGGCTGGCCTCAAAGGCATTCTCTCTTTCTTTCCAGTGGTTATCATTAAAGGCAGGAAAATCCCCTTTCCCTTGCAGCATTGGTCAAAGGATGGGATTGACATCAACTTATCAAAGGTAGTTGACTTGTCAGAAAGCAATGGACTCTCCTTCATCAGTGCCCTTTAGATGGTAGATGCCCGTCTGTCACGGATGCTTTAGCTCTGGATCCCTGCCTGGGAAGGGGTTTGAAATGGGTGGTCCTTGGAATTCCTTCCAACTTTACAAGCCTATGTTCAACAGCCCGTGATGTCCAGGATGCATAAGAAAGGACCATATCAGCCAGGAAATTTTATATGACGTTTTCAGTGCTCAATGGGACATATTTGATGAATGTCTAATTCTAATTCTTCTTATATCATAAAGTGGAGGTGGTCAACTCTGGCCTTGTAGTTGTTGTTGTTGTTTCTGCCTGCCACTCCCCTTCATCTATAGCTACCACTACCAATGTTGTGGGACTATGGGAGCTTCTGTGCAAAACTGAGCCACAGTTGTCCATCCCTTTGCACTTCCTACCATTAGTGGGAAAAAATCTTTGAGTGATAAAGTATGAGGCATCCAGTACTGTGTGATGGCCCATCAGATTAGGGGATGACCCATCAAATACTGTGCCTGGATGTGCAAAAGAGCCTTGTTATGACCCAAGAGTGAAAAAACAGGTTGGGGGAGCTTTTGACAGGCTTTGAACTGTACTTGAGAAATGCAATTATATGGTATTTCACACCTCATGATTTGTTTTCAATTCAGCAGAGGGGCCAAGCTGGAAACTACACTCACATTTGACGCTTGGCGTGCTTCTTTGATTACATATGAACAGACAGATGCTTTCTGAAGTACATTATCTATCTGTCTTGGGCAACCATTAGAATAAAGCAGTACATATTCCCGCTGCCAGCACCTCCTCAAAACCTGTGTATGAACGCTTGAGTGTTTGCAGTGGGACATCCACCCTTGTTGACATCCAAAATGTGTGCTAGTCAAGAATGATTTGTATGTTTCTTTTCCAGGATTTGGCACAGCTTGGTCCCGTATGATACTAGTAACATTTGAAAGAGGGAGGAAATGGACGAATGTGGTTATTCTACTGCCTTCAGAATCAGAGATATTCAGGGAAATTCTCAGGGAAATAATCACATCCCCCACCTCTGCCATGTCCTTTTGTATATTATGAATGCTAGCAGAATGCCATGAGACTTAAATGCCACACCACAGAGATAACATGAGAATCAACTCTGAATGCAGCGATATCACAAAACCAACACAGACACATATTAAATTAGTTTCTCAGTGATTTATTTATGTTTTGAAAATGCCCAAAAGAGAAACTGCAGTTGAAAGCTCATTCATGAGGATACTTCCTCATGGCGTACATAAATGCTTGGGCTGAATGTGGAGCTGATCTGAGACGTTAGCTTCTTGATATATTCATAGCAGATCCACAAGCAGCCCTGCACCATCATGGTTGAAGCTGCCTCAAAGGAGCAATTCTTTTTACACACTAGATTGGAAGGTAACTTTACCCGCCCCTCTAATGTTGTTATAGTAATCGGGTCCTTAGTGAGGCCCTCTTACTGCTTGGGAGGATAGGTAAAATATTTTAATGTAAATGATGGTGTATATATATTTATATTAAAGTCCCCATGTTATATTATTTTATTTGTAGAATGCATGACAGCCATACACTCTTGGCTGAAGTGAAGCCTCCTGTGAGGTGAGGCCCAGGCCTAATGGCCCTACTGGCCACCAACAGACACACACACCTTGTTGGGCCTAACAGGGACACTAATAGATGGCTTTGATTAGCACCAGAAGAGCCAAAGCTTTGGCACCACAATAAAATGAATAAGGATGAATAATTTTAAGTAGAAACACAAGTGGGGCAGGTCGCTTTTTCTGTGCCAAACAATCCTATCAGGGAACCATATATGATAACAATATGCCAGTGTGGGCAGGCTCTTATTAGATATACTGTATGCTGGTTCCAAGAATGGTCACAAGGTGCTTTCTCAGTCTTGCAACTGAGTGTAAGACTCAGCACACTCTGGACATTGAAGGTGTAGCACCAGTAACTTCTGCTTTTCCCAACTTCATCAATACGGCCTAAGGCCCACGGGTGTGTGCGTCTGAAGTATTAGTTTGAAAGCTCACACTGAAATATATGTCTTCATTTTCTAGGTGCCAAAGGGGTTTTGTTTTTGTTTTTGCTCAGACAGACTAACCACGGTCACCTCTCTGGAAACTGTCTGTGTCAGTACTTGAAAAGTGTTTTGAAATGGCAGCTAATAAAAAATATATTTCGCCAAGGGAACAGGGCAGTAAGGACAAGCCATGCACTCCAACTGTCTCTTATTTATGAGGGGGAGTCTATTTTCTGTTCAAGTGCCGCCTCTGTTTTGTCCCAATTTTACCCAAACGTGTGCAAAAATGTAGCATGCTCAAAGCCCCCATGTTAAAGACTGGCGTGTGCATCTTGATACTGGGTAAATGTATATAAATGAATTCACACAGCCATAAAATGACTAAGTACCCTGTTCTTTCCATGTCACCTTTGCTGTAACTGTCTATTGACATAAAAATGTCACTGAACATTAGCATTGCAGCTATTGTTTAATAAATAAAACCAGTGGTGAGAGCAAATATTCTATTCCACACATTCGGTGTTGGAGAGATCTGCAATTTGGTTATTCACTTCTTAGGTTCACCCCCCTAGCTTGGAATCAGTCTGAGTGTTTCTTGGTTAAAGGAAGCAAAGAAACGAACAAACAAAAACCTTACAGCTCATGCATTTGGTTCTTTTATTTTATATAGTCTAGAACTACATCTGTCGCCTTCAGAGGGCAGAAAATGGAAGAGGAAGGAAAAGACAGCCAGCAAAAGAAGCAACAGAAAGGAAGGGGAAGTCTCAAGGACTCT